GAAAGGTGACAGAAGTGACATCAGTTTTCTAAAAGGGTTCTAGAGGAGATCCAAGGAACTAGCAAAGCCTGACTGATCCCACTATTAGAAACCATGATAAAAGGAGGGAAAAATGGAATAGATGGAGGAGACACCGTGACTTTTGTGAAGAGAAGCCCTACCTCACAGACCTCCTGAAGTTCTTTGAAGGCACTGGGATGTATGTGGATTAGGCAGCTCCTATTCATCGAGTATGCTCAGGCTTCTAAAAGGCTTCTGGCAGTCTCTCACCAAATTCGGGCCTTGCATGGGTAGACTGTTGGTTGAAAGATAGCCAGCAGAAGATAAAAATAAATTGTCGCTTTGGACTAATCACAAATGAGGACTTCAGGCTTGAGCAGGGCCTTAGGTGGACTCCTCAGCTCTGGCTGAGTAGTAATCAAAGCAGCAAATGCACTGTTAGGAATAGCCAATCTGGGAAAAGGGACAGAGAGGTAAACAGAGTGCCCTGGGGGCAGTTCCTCAACCCTTGGTGCATCTCACTTCAGCGTCATGTGCTGGTCTCAGAATTGATGACAGAGAGTGGGAAAGGTTGGCAAAGGGTCAATGGAACAGCTTCTGTACAAGAAGCAGCAAAGTCAGACACGGCTCATCAGCCTGGGAAAGAGATGGCCAAGGGTTTTTAAAATCCCAAGACTAGCAAGTGACAGTTCTTTGCCTTTTCCAGCATTATCACAAGTGGCATCAACAGAGATTAGTAGCTGCTCTGTTCCAACAGGCAAATAAAGGTGCTTTTCTCATAAAAAGTAGACTCCTTGCTGTAGGAGACTGTGGGTGTGAAAAGTCTGCACGGGTGCAGAGCACAAATGTGCAACGTCATGGAAGAAAAACCCACTGCAGGTTATCAAGTACAAAGACCTTTGGCCTGGGAAGTCACTGAGCTGCAAAATGTGTGAGAATATTCTTGGAAAGTGCCACCTCCCCTTCTGCTCTTGCGCTTGCTGTTGGCCACAGTCGGAAACAGGTCCTAGGGAGACGGGCTGCTGGTCTGACCTAATACCACGGTATTTATGTTTTTATGATCCTTGCGTAAGAGTGGAAACCACGTTACTCGGAACATCCAGCCTGAATAAAGCATGAGGTGTTACGTGGCCGGGAATGGCCTTACCAGGAATAATGGGAGGGTGAAGTGGAGAGCAGCTTGCAGGTCCCTTCTGATAATAGGTGTTTTAATTAAAAAGCACTGTAATTCAGCGTGAAGCCTGTGACAGAGGGAGGAAGAAAGAAGGAAAAATTATGGAAAGAAACACAAATCCCTTCTGATAACAGGTTTTTTAATTAAAAGGCACTGTAATTCAGCATGAAGCCTGTGACAGAGGGAGGAAAAAAGAAGGAAAAATTATGGAAAGAAATGTCTGAAGACAGCAGCTCACACAGTGCCCTCCCCGCCGGCTTCCACCAGCCGCTGACGGGGTGTTCAAGCCACGAGGTCAACGCTTTTTTCGTAAACTCTTGGTTCCGGGATACGATACACGCACCCCTGACACATGCTCTTGCCCTCGCTGAAGCAGGGTCTTTTAAGTCTCTGTGGATCGAGTCCTGGGCATTCACGTTTCTATCTTTAGTTACAAAACACAGTGACACATTTTTAGCTGTTAAACCTTTAGCTAATCATTGACAGACTGGTGCCTATGAAAGGGTGCTGTAGTTATTCAGAGCCTACAACTTCCTCTGTTAAAGTTTAGTGCTTGTATTATCCTCGGCCCTTTAAACCGTATTTTCATCCTGTGGAGCGCAAAGCTTGTTGTGTGATACACAGGCGTCATACTGGGATTTTCTTACCGTCTGAAGCAGGGGCATGTCCTCACAGCCGTTCAGTTACTATTTCACAACGCTGCCCCTCAGAAGTTTAGACTTTAAGGCAAACTTTGGTACATACTGCAAAGCAAAACCAGGTTTTGTTACTCCTGTTGTCCCTGTGTTGCCCCTCCGTTTGGAATTTTAAGTAGGCCATGTGTTTTTCCTTCATGAATTGATACACCTGAGCCCTCCCGCTCCTGATAGGAGCTGCTATCCTGTGCCAGGGGAAAGACATCATTAAGTGCAGGTCAGTGCTTTGATGTGAATATTTACCTGCCAGATAGAGATATCATAGAATCATAGAATGGTTTGGGGGGGAAGGGCCCTTAAAGCCCATCCAGTTCCAACCCCCCTGCCATGGGCAGGGACACCTTCCACTAGACCAGGTTGCTCCAAGCTTCATCCAGCCTGGTCTTGGACACTTCCAGGGATGAGGCATCCACAGCTTCTCTGGGCAACCTGTCCCAGTGCCTCCCCACCCTCTCCAGGAAGAACTTCTTCCTGATATCCAATCTAACCCTCCCCACTTTCAATTTAAGCCCGTTACCCCTTGTCCTGTCACTACAGGCCCTTGTAAAAAGTCCCCCCCAGCTTCCTTGTAGCCCCTTCAGGCACTGGAAGGTGCTATAAGGTCTCCCCGGAGCCTTCTCTTCTCCAGGCTGAACAAGCACAACTTGGTTTATAACCTGACTCCTCAGGTGTAGTGTGTGTTTGACCAAAGGAAACGAGCTGCTAAACCAGTCCTACGGAAGAACACCAGTAGCCAGGGGTATTACTTTATGAGAAGCCTAATGTCAGGAGATCAGGCAAAGGAATAGACTCCTGGAGAGGAATGTTAGAGAGTTCAACAACAACAACAACAAAGCATCCAGGGATTGCAGAAGTTTCTCCACTGTTCATCTCGCTGTCGGGAAGACCAGCCAGCCTCCTGCCCCTGCAGCTGGCCAGGAGAGGCAGGACTGGAACTGGAGGATCTTCAGTGCAGCCCTTGAAGATTGTCTCCTAAGGGGTGTAATACCTGCCATCCAAAGCAGCGCGAGGTCTGCGCCTCCTGTCCGTGCAGGTAACAGCCAACCCAGCAGCGATGTCCAGCCAGCACATCCTAGCGTTGTTGAGCACGGCAGGGAGTCGGAGGGAGGACAGACATGGCATTCAGCTCCCTGACTCAGATCTGATCTGGGCGTCAGAGCTGCAGGTGTCACCCGGCGGTAGGTGCTGGAGCCCACAGGGAAATCCAGTTTCACCGCTCAGGACCCACACCGCTGACGGGCGAGGGTCCTGCTAACACCTCCAGGATTGCAGCCCCACTGCGGGCGAGGCCAAAGCACGTCGATAGTACAGACACCCCTGTGCACCGGCAGACCCTGCGTCCACCCGTTCTAACCCCAGAGCCGTCTTTGCCCCCCTTCTCGCTCCGTTCCCCGCTGGGACTGGGCAAGTAGCATCTTCCTGGGTGCCCCTCGGGGATGAGGTGGAGGAGAGGGGAGCACTCTTGTCGTCCCCACTGCAGGCAGTGCCTCAGCTCCCCACAGCAGAGGGCCGGGGCAGACCACCTTCTTGTGCCGTGTCCATCAGAGGTCTGGTAGGGGCAGGTCCCAGCTCTTTGGGGAGATCGCTGCAGCTGCACACCCTGCGGGAGAGCAGAGAAGGGCCAGCAGGGATGAGGAAGGCCGAAAAACCCCTTCCTCTGCCATCTCACCATTATTCAAAGACTGGGTACTGTGGCAATATGGTGATGTACTCCCATCAGCATCATGCAAAGCCGAAAAGGTATCGCCAGCCGCGTCCTGCGTCGTACTAGCGTGAGTTTTCCCGACTCTCTCGGGCTGGCATTGATATTGGCAGTGAGAGGAGGGTGACTGTAGCTCCAGGGATTTTTAGCTTGAGATAGGACGATCCTAAAGGGAAACAGAAAGATGAGACATTTTAGCAAAACCGACAGAAATTAATGAAGTGATTCTGTTCGCCGGTGCCTGCGCTTCCAGGTTGAAAAGGCTCCATCAAAACAATACGGTCTGTTCTGTGTCGGTGGGGTGAGGAGGGCTCTGCCTGCCCCGACAAACTGATTTCGGTTTGTTTTTTTCTCACATCTTGCCATCCAGGATTTGTGCCATCCAGGATTTTGCCATCCAGAGGGAGGACTGGGCCTGCAGGCTGTCACAGGCGTTACAACCACAGCAACGATGCCGCGGTGCTGGGGGGCAGCTGACAGCCAGCATGCCCTCAGCATCACCTCAGCTGTCTGTAGATGCGCTCTACAGAGACACTGATAAAGGGGGGAGAGGGGGCAGGGGGAAATCGGATAAGTGCATAGACCACCAACTAACTTCTGAAGAAAAACAGGATGGGGGGTGACTTGCATGACAGCTGCCAGTACCATCTTTCTTTCATGCTGCGGTTTCATTGGGCTACCTGCCAGGCTTCCTGCGGCGGGAATTTTCCAACTGCAGCTGCCCCTGGGATTAACCGCTCTGGTCCACAGCGTATGACAGTTTAAGGCGTGAGGTGAAGATTACAGGAGTCAACACGCGGGGACAGGCAGAATGTGATTACTTGGAACTATGCAACCAGGAGACGGGAGCCAACAAAAAAGCGTTACGAGGTCTCCAGCCCTGCCGTGTGGCGTACGAGCTTGACTCGTCCGTTTTTTACTGAGGTCCACTGGGCTCGGGGGTTTTCCGATCAAAAGTCAGGTTTGAGTTGTTCCTCGAGCATTCCTGTCTCTGAGCGATGGAGCATTCAGAGATGAGCGGTGCCAACCGCAGAGGGCTTGCGGGAGCAGCGGGATGCCTGGGTGGCTGCTGCCGCTTCTCCGCCCCTGCGGGAGAGCTGTGGGCTTGCAGGGGGGGTGGGGAAGGGCTGAGGAATGCTGCAAGGCTGGTGGGGTAGCGGCTGGTAAGCAAAGTGGGTGCTTACCCACTTTGGATGGGTGCTGTCCACCCCGAGGGCCGTACCTTGCGCTGTCTACGAGGTTTGTGTGTGTGCACTTGATGTCTATGACAGCGAGCCTGCTACTACTGCGATAAGTGATTCCTAAGAGATTAAGGACTGTAGTAAAGTGATTATTAGTAATTATTTCCAGTTTTGCCTCCATAGTAGGTGTGTGCTGCGTTAGGGTTGTGACACACAGGCGTTCACGGTCTCTCTCTCTCTTCCTCTAGGTTCTCAAGCATCTGCGCCACTTAAATTTCACCAATAACATGGGGGAGCAAGTGGATTTTGATGAGTTTGGGGACCTGGTAGGGAATTACTCAATAATCAATTGGCATCTCTCTCCGGAGGATGGCTCCGTTGTCTTTGAGGAGGTTGGGCACTACAACGTTTATGCCAAGAAAGGGGAGAGGCTCTTCATCAATGAAAACAAGATCCTGTGGAGTGGATTTTCCAAGGAGGTAAGTGCTTAAACCCTCACAGCGACATTTCCCAGGTTTCCGCAAGCTGAGATTTGAACAAACCCTGCTCACTGCTCTATTACAGCCCCATGTCTCATTAAAGGACCCATTCATCTTACCGTACACCTGGTCTCTGCCGTAGCCTCTCACAGCCTCATTACACACTTCTGGAAATAAAGGGCAGCTGCTTCTCCCCTCCTATACGTTTAATGAGCCTGGGTATTAATGGCTTAAATATCACCTCTTTTTTTTCCTGGCTCAGGTAGATAGCTTGGAATTTTGCAGTGCTGTTTCCACAAGGATGAGAAATTTATTACCCAAGTCCGGTTGTTGACCAAGTCAAGATTCGCTGAGCTCTGTAGCTTCATTGCTGAAAACAGCCATCTCTTCCACTCCCAGTGTCTGTATCAGGGTCAGGAAGTGTCTCTCCCTGCTCCTAGTTACATTGGCATCTGTTTCTGCTGGCTTTGCCCTCCAATTCCGGAACCTTCCACAAATCCTTGCCTTGCAAACTGACCAGAACAAGCCCTGTCACTCTTCTGAGGTTACCTTGGACATGGTGCTCAAACAGTGGGCGATGTCCATGCCTGCTAAGTGTTTTTGATCTACCAGAAGGTGCTTGTGCAGTCCCAAAAGTACATCATGTACCCATTGCCTAAGGCCTTCTCCATGTTCTTTGTGTATGTTAGATCTTTCCAGCATAGCTGCGTCATCACCAGCAGCCAGGGCTGTGTCTCCCCTGCGTGATGGGAACGCAGTGCTGGGATCCCCAGACAAGAGCCAGGCGAGCTGCCGCTGTAGCCAGCAGCAGCCCACTCCAGCCTAGAAGCCCCAGCTCCCAGCGAGGATATCGAGCGGGCATCTGGCTTGTGGCCTGGGAGGTGACACAGGAGCTTAGAAATGTGGCTGCCAGGCCCTGCTGCGATGTTTAGACCTCTTAAATCAGCAGATGACTCATCATAGAAT